GCAGTGAAAGTTGTTTGATCTCATTATTGACACGTTTGTATGAGAGAGGAATGTGTGTTTGTGGTGCACTTGGATCAGTTGGAATGTTAAAAAATTGACACAAGCTGTTTAATTGCTCATAAGAAAACCCTGTGCAGTAGTGGAAATAATCAGGTACATGGCTTTGGTTTAAAATCTTAGGGTTTAAAGCATCTGAGGTGTGTGCATACTGAAGTTCCTTTTGAAGATGATGGAGTTGGCCATCCTTTGACTTGAGTTGAAGCTTCAGATTTATGACGTCCTGCTTGTGATTAGCTAATGCGTCCTGCAGAGTTCTCAGTTCCTCTCCATGGTCGCCCATATCATGTTCTTCTGTAAATGGATAAAAAGAGAAAGGAAACTTGGAATGTAACTAATATATGTTATTTTCTTCTGTTTTACAGCTTCCTCTCCTTGACTCTGCAGGACCATCATCTGCGAAACAGCCGTCAAACGACTTGCCGGATTTCCCTCTGCCAACACAGCTGTCAAATTTCTGTGCAGTGCTGCATGAAAAAAAACGTTCAGTCAGTAACTAAAAACAGATACAAATAGCGGTTTAAACTTACCATAGGTAGAGTCACTCTGTTGTGATGTACTGTGAAATGTGTCCTCAGTGGAGTTTGAGGTGCTGGCTTCCTGTCACACATGATTCAGTAAACAATCAGTTTAACAATTGTTTAGTTGTCTTCATGAAGTCATTAAAGTTTAACAAACCCTTCTAATAACTTAACTTACATTTTATTACACTGTTGTTTTGATCCTGTATTGTTTTCTTACCAGAAACAAATAAAATGAATTTTGTATAAAGCATGAGAGCATGCTGTGTTCTGTAATAAATCTCGCTGCCCAAATAAAGTCTACACGGTAGTAAACAGGTATGACAGCACATAAATGACTACTGTTAATGAACTGATTAAGTTTGCATACCAACCTTTCCTTGGAGATCTCCGGCAAGCCCCCTGATGTTTCCTCCTTAGAACTAACCCCGGGAGAGCCGCGATCGGATTGGGGTACTCAGGGGTAGGCCGTCGATTAACAAAATGCTGAAATATATTTTAAAGTATGTCAGTCAGCCTCCGTCTTGCCTTTAATCATCTTATTTTACGTTCAAATATATGCATTATGAACAAAGAACCGTCATTATTTCCAAGCAATGCTGTGCTGAGTTAGCTATCTAGCTAACATTAGCGTGTTCTTACCTTGGAGCAAACGTAGGTTTTTTTGTTAATCCTGTCGACATTTAGTTGTGAATGGGGCCTCCCACACTGCTTGATCCACGCCCGGCATTTCTCCCCTTGGGTTTTAGGTTTCGGGAAGGGAAAAAATTCCACCACCCCGTCCAAACTTTTAGGATACCGGGTATCAGATTTGCACAATCCATATGCACAACGCTTCGGCATGTTTCCCTCGCTCGAAAGCTTGCCAGACCTCCCGCGCCTAGTTACGATTGGCCTGTGGCGGTTTTCGGGCGTGGCTTAGTGAAGGGTCAGTTAAATGACACAATAATTATATAGAGGCCTGATTATTAAATACATTTGTATAATGTTAATGAGTAACATGAGTAATAAGGCATCTTAAAATGAACCTTGTACTAAATTAGAATAAATTAGCACGTGTTAAGAATTTATCTTACAATTAATTTATTATTTATAATGTGTAAAGAAAATACAGATAGATTCAGACATATATTTCTCCACTAAAACTTAACTTTGTATATCTAGAAATATTTAGGACATTATTAAACCCAAAATAGCATGCCACATGAATTGATAAAGACTGGTTTCAAGCTAAAGTACCTGCATGCTCTGCCAGTGGGCACTGAAGGAAATTGAAAGACTGACGGATTTACAGTTTAACGTACCTTTAACTCACTTTCACGATGCTTGCATAAACGTAATTGTCATAAGAAAAACTTGATGGTAGCGCGTTTGTGTCTTGACACAGATATGACAACATGACAGACATGATATTCAGCGCTGAGGACAAGCAACGTACAGATTACGCAGTTCACACTTAAGCCTATGGCGAATGGTAGTTTTTAAACGCGCTCTAATCTCAGAGTTTTGCATTAGATAACGTCAATAAAATGACTGGTAAATGTTCCGCGTTATGCCAGCTCTTTCTGCAGAAAGACTGCTCGTTTGTAGCGGGTGAGACAGACACTTCAACACGGTGTCATGCGTCACAAAAACGATTTCCTTGGAGATCTCCGGCAAGCCCCCTGATGTTCCCTCCTCAGAAGTAACCCCTGGAGAGCTGCGATCGGATTGGGGTACTCAGGGGTAGGCCGTCGATTAACAAAATGCTGAAATATATTTTAAAGTATGTCAGTCAGCCTCCGTCTTGCCTTTAATCATCTTATTTTACGTTCAAATATATGCATTATGAACAAAGAACCGTCATTATTTCCAAGCAATGCTGTGCTGAGTTAGCTATCTAGCTAACATTAGCGTGTTCTTACCTTGGAGCAAACGTAGGTTTTTTTGTTAATCCTGTCGACATTTAGTTGTGAATGGGGCCTCCCACACTGCTTGATCCACGCCCGGCATTTTTCTCCTTGGATTTTAGCTTTCGGCAAGGGAAAAAATTCCACCACCCCGTCCAAACTTTTAGGATACCGGGTATCAGATTTGCACAATCCATACACACAACGCTTTGGCATGTTTCCCTCACTCGAAAGCTTGCCAGACCTCCCGCGCCTAGTTACGGTTGCTAAGCCACGATTGGCCAGTGGCGGTTTTCAGGGCGTGGCTTAGCGAAGGGTCAATTCACTCATCAGAATCTTTGGTAATCCTCTGCAAACTTCACTACGGCTCATTCGGTTCTTGTTGAGTCCTCGGTAATCCTCTGCAAACTTTGACAGTTGGTTGAACCGGCTCAATCGGTTCTTTTTGTGTTGGATGAGCTACTTCGGCTGTGCGTCCTGAATCATCAACCCGGAACTAAAGTTCGATTACGTTCGATTTGTAAACCAGCTCAACTGGATACTTCCTGAGAACCGGTTCAAAAGAAAGATTCCTTCAAGAACCGAACATCACTAAAACCCATTGCAATGTTTTATTGGAAGTATTACACATAATGAACCCAGAGCTATATTTAAAAATGTCCTGGCTCTTCCCAGCTTTATAATGGCAGTGAATGGGGGTTGAGATTCATCCATCCATAGTAAAAATGTCCCGGATCTTACGCTACGCCTACGTCATCCAGCTGGAACAAACAGAACAGTCAATGAAGACGAAGAAGAGAACGATGTGTAGCTCCCGGCACCGATTTATACTGTAGTCGCACCGGTAGTGACGTCATGGCTGTCGCCGGCCAACGAGTTGGTGTTTTTTCAATGTATGCTTCAGATACGAGTCACGACGAGGCGTTCCCCATAGCGACCCCTAGAGGACGCAGTTCGAAGTTCCCATGAAAGGGAATCTCAAGGGTCAGTCAATCAAGTTCAGTTATCGGTCAGGAAAATCATTTTAATCAACAAAATGTTGTCATTATACTATTCTCCGCAAGATTTACTATGCTGCAAGCAAGTTCATGCTAACTCAAAAACTTGCGTACATGAGCTGAGGCTTGTCATGAAATTTGAATGTAGCCACAGATCACATCCATATTGATAAATTCCAAGTTTTGCGTATGTAACACTATAACATGTTAATGCTATATAACACAATAACATATTACAGCAAACAGATGTCTATATGAGACTAGGTTTGACTCTTAGGAGCAAAGAAATTAATTTAGGGTCAATTGGGATGAAACCAGTAAACACCCGGCACATTTATTACACAGAAATTAAATGAACAAATACTAAAAGAAGGAAATTAATGTATAGATGTCTGAACACAACAATGTCAATAATTTAAGGACAATTCAATGTTGAGTCCAGGTTATTCAATAATGTATCCAAAAAAAAAGGAATAAAATGTCCAAAAGCCATCCTGGTTCCTTTGTTATCCGTGTGTTTAATATAAAATTAAACAGTTGAAATCCCGCCCACACTCCCACAGTTTTCATTATAAAGTTTATTTTTTGACCCATCAGCTACTTATTAAACCAATATATCAGTCTGTGTACTACTTTGAAACGTTCTGGGTGATAATGGCTTTGAAATCTAAACACAACACTAGGAAAGACGAAGTTAAGAAAGACGAAGCATAGGCTAGCGGGAGCTTAGCAGATATTGCAACTTTGACAACGCTACTGGAAGAACACAGAGAGGCATTGTCTTCCGAATTTGAAACGGTGTTTTCCACCTTGGAAGCGAAGCTGGACACACTACACACAACTGTGAACGATCACGAACAGCGACTTCTCTCACTTGAAGCAAATGCAGAAGCGAGTGGCGTGAGTGTCGGAGCACTGGAGTCGAAGTACACAACTTTAGCTGACGAGCACGCTAAACTTGAAGCCAAAGTTATGGATCTAGAAGGGAGGAGCCGGAGAAACAATAAACGAATCTTCGGCCTACCTGAGACGAGTGAAGGCCCTCATCCTTCCACTTTCTTTTCAGAGCTCTTTGTGGAAGTTTTCAGCGTGAGCCTCTTTGCCTCTCCTCCCGAGCTGGATCGAAACCGCGAAACCGAAGCCGAGGGAGAGACCTAGATCTGTGATTATTCACTTTCATAAGTTCCAAACCAAGAAGTTCTAGGCAACGATTTTTTGAACTGGGTGATAAGGCAGGTAAATTATTAGCGCATCAAGCTAGAGCATCAGCAACATCAAGGATGATTACAGGATTAAGGTCACCACAAGGAGATACTTTCCATGATGCATATAAAATTAATAGCATTTTCTTTCATTTTCTTCAATAGAATTTTATTCAAATCTTTACACTTCTGAGCTTCCCTCATGTATTAACTGTGAGGAGTGGCCTTTCGATAAGATCATCTTTCCCAAGATTGATAGTACTATAGCTAGGATCCTTGGTGATCCAATATCAATCTCTGAGGTGGTGGAAGTGATCAAACTCTACAAAGTGGCAAGTCACCAGGTCCTAACAGGTTCAACACTGAGTTCTATAAAGTGTTTTCTACATCATTAGCATCTGCACTACAGAATATGTTTAATGAGGCTTTTTCCAAAGGCTACTTACCTCCCACCTTATTATCAGCATCAATTACTTTGATTGCCAAGAAAGACAAAGACCCCCTTTTGTGTAGCAGCTATAGACCCATTTCACTTTTGAATGTGGATTATAAAAATTTAACTAAGATTTTTTTTCCCAGTAAAAGTTTTACCCCAAATAATTTTGGCTGACCAAACAGGTTTTATGATTGGAAGACATTCTTTCTATAATACAAGGAAACTTATCAATATTCTCAATATGCCCAATTCAGATGTGCCAGAAATGGTTTTGGCTCTTGATGCGGAAAAGGCGTTTGATAGAGTGGAATAGAGATATCTATTTCGTGTAATGGAAAGTTTCGGTTTTGATGATGGGTTCATTTCCTGGGTCAAACTATTGTACGTCTCTCCACAGGCATCCGTGTTAACTAATGGTGTTTTCATCTCCATTTTTGCTTCAGAGGGGCACTAGGCAGGACTGCCCTTTGTCGCCTTTACTTTTTGCCATTGCCATTGAGCCCTTAGCTATCTGGCTTCGTGAGGATGTAAATTTTAAAGGTATCAAACGGGTAGTTCGAGAGTATAAATTATCCTTATATGCTGATGATCTTTTACTTTTTATTT